ACTGCGTTTCAAAGATGAACACGCGCAACTCGTAAGCACCGAGGCTCCCTCGGTAAGCCCCTTCGGAGTACTGAGCCTGAGGTTTGATGCATGGTATGCATCCATGTCCTGGATGTAGAACATCGTACATACATGTACATGTGTTGGGCAACGTTTCACTACAGATACACGATGCGATAGGAACCGCCAATTTTGCTGAATAAACTTTGATAAAATCATGATCAGGCGGGAGTTGGATTGGGGCATGATCATCACAACATAAATTTACATAACGGATCGCCTCCCTTGGACCGCTCTCCCCGTTTGTGCAGCGAAGATAGATACTATCCAGAATCTAGAATACGTCTATAAGATATCAGAATGAAGACCGCGCTAGTACACTTTACATGAGATGAGAGCCGGGGCTTGATAGACCATTGTCTGTTGCAACAAAGGGTGTTATTTCCTCTTTTGTTCCCCATTGGCAGTTGTGTTAATAATCCGTAGCGGGTACTTGCGTCGGATTCCTGAGGCGCCTAAAAGTTCTGAAAGACGGGGGCGGGTTCACATCCACCATATATGCCTTCAATATAACCCCAACGGCATTCACAATCTCTAAGCGCCTCGATTCGTTCCAGACGCCACTGCTCAGGGGCTTAGAATGTGGGATAGTTTGGCAATCTGGAGCACCTTCAATGTCAATCTTAAATATGTCAGATTGGAAATTGATTCCCAGCCAACACACAGTACATACATACATCGTCTCCTGGGCCCTGACCGGTGCCGCCGTTCGCCGCTCGCGTCGGGATACGGGAAAATTATTACTTGCCTTTCCTTTTTCTCCCTATTTTCAGGATGGATGAACGAGTCTGTATTAGGCATGACTGTGCATTACATAGAGTAGGTGGTATGAGGGCCGGCTTGGTTGCGCACATCCTTTCCCCCTTATTTTTCTTTGATACGAAGCCCTACATGACTTGTGCGATTATACTCGTAGCTTCATAGCGTTTCCGAACACGACCAATATTACATGACATACAAAAAGGTGGATTTGGCGCTTTTTTGTATGGTATGCAATAGCAGTCGTGTCCGGAAACGTCATGAATTTACGAGTACTGATCTTGAACCTTAAACCAGGTTTAGTTGGCTTAAAAATTACCAACCTACTATTATACATGCTAAGAATTTCTAGAAATATGGGTCTTACCGTGTACGGGCACTGGATCCTAATTTACTAATTGTCGATCCGATACGTGGTTGCAGTTGTGTCATTGGTACGCCCGTACTGAATCAAATCATCTTATTGGCACATCATGGTGCTGTAAACCCCTACTCTTGATTGCAATTCACTGATTGGGTGCCTTACAGTGTTATAGAACGCCTCCTTAATAATAGTACAATCTGAAGCCAATTAAGTATTCAATGCGCCAAGGTGAGCTTTTACTATCCTATCAAACGCGTACCACCACAGGAAAGCCAGCTGTCGAAGGTATTACACCGTCATGATCAGGAATATCATAAGAATCGATGTGTTTGTGCTTTAATTACTTGATTGTTAAATATCGATGCGTACACCATAGCGCGTATCGTGCTTACATATAAGGTAAATATTCAACTTCCTCCACTGCTAATTCTTCTTTCATATTTCACATTTCATATTTAAAATACAGGCTACTGGCTTACTGTGATGATCTTTAATTGTCCCCTCTATCATCAAAGTCGATTATCGGCATATCGCCCGAGCTAGATCAAAAAACTCGACTATCGAGATCTGGTTGTCTAGAACGGTTTGGTACGTGTGGCCTCCCTTGCTTCAGTAATCCCGCACAACTCAAGTGCGGATTTGTTTATATCTATCATGATATACGGAAACACTAAAGTATAATATGACTGATATAAAAAGTATTGATGAGAAAGGAAGGAGATACATAGCTTATGCTATGCTCAAGATCGAACTCTTGACAAGAAACCCAACAAGGTGCCGAGAAGCGAGTGCAAATGAATATATAGGAGCTTGAGAATCGTGAGATTGCTCAAAAGGAAAAAGGAAAGAAAAAATGGCTCGAGAACTTTACAACACAACAACAGATCAAGAGATAACCTACCAGTGTCCTTTCTTTCAGAACCTTCCACTATCGCGAGATCCCCGGGAGATCTGTCATGCGTAATTGCATAAGGTAGACCAATATTTGCCTTGCCTTACTCCATCTACATATATAGAGCTAGAGTACGATCATAAATTTTCTGTTGGCCTATCGGGATAGCTAGGTAGCTGGGGTAGAATTGGAGTTTCGCGAAGAACACTGTGCAGCTCGTGCCTCGTGGAGGTACGTGCAGGGCAGCTGGTGATTGATTGACCTGACCTACCTACTAGTAATATCTTCATGATATCGGTACTTGTCCCCCGAAATGGTAGTTTTATCCACGAGGCCGTAATTTTTTTTCTCTTGACCCATGGCGCCCGCTGTTCCGACGAGCCTAAACAACTAGCTAGTACAGGGCTGCTAGACTCTAAACTAGAGATTGCTCCTGGGTGTTACGGACACCAGAAGAAAAGAAACTCTCTGCTTCTTTCCCTCCCTTCTTCGGCCAGACAGACATGATCAGCTGGATAGCCAGGGATAGGTAAACGAAATTTTCACGACATCTCGCATGCATGTGGCTTTTTAAACCGTGGGTAGGGAAAACCGCTAATTTTGCTAGCGCTGCGTCTGCTAGCTTGTAGTGTGATGGCGTAGCAGGGTAGAGCCTGGATAGGCTCCAGGGTCAATGATACTCTACTCTTAAAGGACGACCTCGAGATAAGCTTCCCTTCCCCAGTATGGCAGAAACAACTGGTTCGCCCCATTTCCGCGGTACCTACCGGTGTAAGATTCTCTCGATAAGCGTTACCTGGGAACAAGCATACCTGGATTAAACTAAAGTACATGTACTTGCGAAGTGCAATACATATTAAAACTACCAGCAATCGAATGTACTACAGTGCTGTATGTACCCATCGAAGGAAATGTGAACCTAAACGTTGATCTTTTTGGTATTAACGTTTGGTTTGCGATTTTTCAGAACACCCGCCGCGAATTTTACTTGCAGCTTGCGTTTTAAGTTCCTTTCCCTGCCTTAAGTATCCATTCTATCTGCAATATTTGAAACTGTAGTATTATAATATGGCTTTCCAACGCACCTTCGCCCCGTGCATAATGTAGGTAGTACAATCACCAGTTATTCAGGCATATATGTATTATTAGAGTCCATAATTATCTGAACCCGTTATTACTATTAATCATCATTAATTTGATGTTCAACCGCCACGCAATCACGGGTAAGCAAGCCAACGTTATTTGTGACGCCATGGATCACATCCGTCCGGATCAATCCATCAATATTGATGAATAGCTTAACCCTATTTATTTTAGTACTGCAGCAGCTATACATACATACCCACATTTCTACCAAAACTGCTTTATTCCGCATCAACTCCTGTAACCTACCAGCATACACTCACGCAGTGTCACCGAGAATACCAGGATAGGAAAGGCTTTCCCCTCCTTGTGTGTAGCATATTCCAGTCAATATTTCAATCGATTCTCGGAAGGGTATCCTCTGCCACGCTTTATACCAACGAATCGGGGCAATCATGCAACTGGGGATTCCGGGGAGTGATGACGTTCGAGACTCCGGATCGAAGGAAATACCCCCCACCAGCTAGCTGCATGCCAGCTAAAAGAGGGAAAAAAAATCCAGACCATAATGCAATGCAGGAACATTCAAAGCTGAGCTATATCAGACGATAAAGCAGAAAGCTCCTGGGGTACGGGGGTGCGGGAAGTGGCATCCCTTATAGGTCAGATAGACTTCAATGTATGGTACGGCGATAAGACAACTGGTAAAGCTTGCCGGCCGGTGGATATGCACGTTGATCTTGGTCTCTGACCTACGGATATCGTCTCCGCAAGGTGAGGTTCATGAAGCGATGGGTTGCGGGCTGTTGGGCTTCATCAATTATCACCCACTCTTGGCAGAACGCGATTTGGCGCTTACGGCGTCTGCATACTTGTTGTAGTGCCGATACCACCGGCAGTATGAAACCGGCATTGATGTATGTGCCGGAGAACAAAACCCTATTTCTGGCGCTCGTCATATCTCTAACGACCACGGTGCCACGCCTGACAAACATCGATCCTACGTTCCTTTTTTACTTTTTTTTATTTTTTTGAAATGCATGCAAACACGATAATGATATATGAGTGGGGTAAATCAATCATATGCAACTCGAAAGCTCACACCTACATTAATGCATTACATGATCGGGAGAAAGATCTTCAGAAGCGTACAGTTTCAATTACAGTACTATATATATACAACCAGTATAGTTATATATATAACCCAGCTCAACCAATAGTAGTCAAGATGTTTTCTGATTAAATAATTGGGCCCTACATACCTCATGATCAAGCTAGTACACGTACGTACTTCAGGTAGATTACGCGATAAATAATTTGCCATTTTCTTTGCATAACATAACGTATAACCTAAGGAGCACACTTCTCTCTAAATGACGAAGACTGTACGACGAAATCTAAAACAAAAAACACGAAATCTATCTCAAAGAAGCCCCCGGATGGTTGGCAGAAAATAATGGGGATAAATAGCAGTAAGCATGTGTCGCCATAAAAATAAAGTTGAGGTGAGAGAACACATGTAGTATAACCCTAACAGCGGGAAAACGTTGTATAGAAGGGAAAGAAGTGAATTGAGAAAGCAAAAGCAAAAGCACAAAAAAAGAGGTCGCGGTTCTCCGTCCCCACAAAGCAAAAGAAAAAAAAGAAAACCCAAATTGAACCCTCAAAGCTCAAGCGTTGCACTTCTAAACCGAAAAATCCGAAAATTCTAGCGGTGATATGCGCCAAAAACTCCGTGTGTAAAAAATTATTCCTCGTGCATCGTGCGTAAAATCAATTGGGTTAGCACCCTTTTGTCTAGCAATGCGAAATAATTTCCAAAGCGAACCATCGTTTTGGATTCTAGTTGAAGTATGGAAAGTTTCTTAGAGTCTCGGACCCATCGTGGGAGTCGTGGAGGAATGACTCAGAGTACTGTTGCGATGCCCCCAACTCTGAGGACATCCAACATTTCGGGTCGGTTTGCGACACATTTAGGACTTCCACTGGAGTAGGTGTAAAAGTTGTTGGAGCAAATGAGGTTGGTGTAGTTTGGTCTGAGCAGTGTAATTGCTCGGTTTTTCCATCCCTGCCAGGAGTGAACCCACAGTCCGGGCAACCAACATCAATGCAAGGGTTGAGAGGCCCGAAACCACAATTAGGCTTTATAGAAAATATATTAGAAGACATAAATAAAACTCAAGAATAGGATGCCACTTACACAGTACCACGGAGCTGGAGGTGCCGTTTTGGCCATTCCAGAGGATTGCATGTGAATCATGTTTGAGGTTGAAGATTCTTGATCGATTGTAAAGGTAGACATAATGGGATTCTTGGATAAGTTTGGAAGAGAGATGTCTGTTGTTATGAGGCAGGCGTTATATATATGTTGAAAGCTGTTTCGAATGATGGCCTTTTCACCTTCGAGTGGTCTTGTCTTATATATTATTTTCAGATAGAAGAATCCAAGATAATTGAGGTTCCATAAGACAGTCAATGATGCATAGCCATGTAAAGAGTCAGTATTCGGAAATCCTGCAGGATTAGAGAAATTTTGACCAAGCCCTAAAGAACAGACAAGGCAAGATTCCCTAAGATCCAAACTTCAAACTATGTCCAAGGCTCACAAACACCGTAGGAGCATGACGAAGTCCCACGAACAAGGTTTTATTGTGCTTAATCGCTTTCTGTTTCCAATTCAAGCTACAGCTCTCCTTTGAGGGTAGTAGCATAGCCATGGCAAAAATTCGCACAGGACGTAGTGCCTCATGACACGATACATCGTTTCCAAGACTCTAGAGTGACTGTCACTCATTCACGAATTATGGCTGGTGCGGTATAGAGCGGGTTACTTCGGATCCTCAGGTAGACCTCGTTTAGACTCGATGTGTAAGGGTTGTAATGGTGGCCTGTGGGAAGAGCTTTTGTAACCCTAGTACGTGCGCATTATAGAAAATTATTATCTTGGAGGCCTGTTGCAGTAAAGAGTCATATACAGCGTAATCAGTTGGAGGAATGCTATAGGCTAGTACTAACCTAACTTAATATAAAGAAAAAAACACAACAACCAAGAGGTGAGTCTAACCAACAGGTATCGGTAGTTGAGACGAATGAATGGCCACAGAAATAGTTCGTTCGGTGTCAGTTGACAATGATTTTCCCTTGTAGAGGTAAATATGTAGCACTGCTTAGACGTGAGACGCAGGCACAGAGCTAGAGAGAGTTAGATAATATTATCTGCCTCATGTTTGGTTCTAAGAATTCCTCTGGTATGCACAAACCAGGGTACATTACTGTGAGAAGTTTAAGGCGAGCAATATGTTGTAGGCAGTGTATGAGAAATTGTACAAACCCAGAACTAGCTAGAGGTGAGCTTGGTGGGCGCAATGGGAGAGTGCTAGCTACCATGGTACCTACAGATTCTATGATGTTGTTGCTAGCTCTAAGGGCTTGAAGAGCCGCAAAATGGGCTTGTACCAAATAAGTCCAGATACATACATGCATTACTGCAGCATGGATGGCCTTCCATTTTCCCGGAATATCGAATAAGGAAGTGGAGTAAGCATACATGTAGGCAGCACTGAACATAAGAGCCTCCTTTTGCTCTCGCACCCCCAACCACCGATTTATGGCGCGCGGCTCTGTGAAGGAATTCTGCTGTCATGAACCACGCGTTAAAACCATAAGGTTTCTCCGTATATATTCTGCCATCAAAAGTTAACACAGAAATTTTCAGCGTGCGTACTTCATTATTTCCCCGTTATTAGCACCGCCATGACCGTAATCCACTGTGCGCACAAGACTTGCGGCTATGATGTAGCTGAGATCATAGCAGCACAGGTTAATGGGACACTAGGGCTGAATGATCAACATTGTAAAACTCTAGATACTAAAGTATCTATTAATCTGGAACATCTCATCAATAACAACTTAGGATTCGGCCCAGTTTACCGTAGTCGGGACTTAACGTTTGCCATAAAAGCTGTTCTCGAGTGATAAGATACCCCATACTGTCAACTAGCTGTCAGGTTGACTAGCAGGATGTCACTCATCATGAGCATAAAGGTGAGTCACGGACAGGCAAGTATGTATGTATGTATGTGCGTGTACATATGTATAGACGTCTGAGACTGTTATGGACCAGGAGTTTCCGACGGATTAGACTCTTTGCTTTTGGAATTGATAGATATTGCGTATATTCGGAGTATCCACCTGACGAAAGCAGGAGAATGGGTACAAGCGAAAACGGGGGTAATGAGGGGTTTCAGCTTTGTTTTGCCTGTCTGGCAAAGTTCTAGAAAAATCGCCCACGTGGATTAGATCTACCGGAAGCTGATATTCAATCAGAAACAATCCATTGGTTCGGATCTATTTCTATCTTCAGCGTCTGTATCTGTTGACTGCCGCCTAGTCCTAGTGGTACTGCGTAATTAAACCTAGTTAGTGATTGATATAATGAGTCGTAGGCGATTGTGTTTTGAGACGCGACGATCAATGTTAACTCTCTGACTCGACTTGTTCAGAAAATTAACTGTAGTAAGTGAGAGGAATGTTTGTGGGGCTTGCGAATTTTCGAAAGGCTGATTGTTCTCCTTGTAGAATCCAAAAGCTCCTCAGCGGCGGATCCCGAAGTGTTCGCGGGGTTGACCTAGACTTTTCGGCTGCAGGACCTTCACCTCGAGGAACTCATTTCTGAAAGAGCCGCAACGAGCCACAACAATGAATGTCGTTGTGCCTTAGTAAGTGCAGGAGGTTGAATCTCGGTGTGTCATTGTTGATGATGGTTTAATAGCTCATAATTCTGATAAGAATTGGAGAGTCCCCGCTGTCTGTCGTGTTTTCTGTTCTTTTTGAAAGACTAATTAAAATGATGTAAAGGCTCTCTCGCTAGCTTCTTATACTTGATATTCTTGCCACCGCTCAGCTCGTTTCTTTAAAGTCTCCTCATGTGCATCAAATCTCGTACTTTTCTGACTGTTGAGCTGTCCCACCGACCATTCCGCTGGATATTTGGTGACGGTTTGGGATGCTCAACTTCATTGTGTGTGTCTTAAAATGAGTCGAGGTCCCAGAACTTCGAGCTGAGGTTGCGGCTCCATGGCATTGCAAGGACTTTGAAGATATAGTGACTCTTTGAAACACGTCAACTTTGACTGAATAGTGGTTACACTATATCGATTTTGGAAAGGTATATAAGCTCCTCTGCTGCCTCTATTTTCTTTTAGAAGGGTTCAAAAGAAAAAAATAGAGCGGAAATGCCTAACTTTATGTTTTGTAGTCCCCGGCTTTGGGCTGTTGGTAGCGGTTGCTCGTATTATGAATCCTATCCAGCAATACATATTGCAAAATTGGAAGCCTGTGAGACAGTAAACGTACTTAGGACGGATTGCAGTATTTTCCGAGATAATGACACCAAGACAAGGGTTAGGGTTGATGACCAAAACTATTTTACCAGTGATACTGTCACTAATCTGACTTTGAAAGGCAGACAACTAAGAGCACCGTAGGTGCATCTATATAGATATCTATCAATTTTAGCCCTCTCCTGTAAGGACACACAAAAATATTTTGATTTATAAGTTGCCTGGAGTCCTGGATGGCTTTAGAATCAAATATTATATGGCCCCCTCGGAGATAACCAATTCTTTAGATCTGCCCATCATATATTTAGAATATGATTTGAGTAGGTATGGTCCTTTATGTACTGTGATACCACGGCCGATGTAAATGTGAAAGTGAAGATCGCCAATTCGATCTTGAGGAGTTCCTGCTAAGAAAGTTTTGTGGTTGCTGAACCTAGTCTGAGTTGACTAGGCACGGGAAGTTGTAAGTTTTTAACTGGGTGGAACGTGCGATTGTTCCGCCCTTGGACTCAGTTGGTTCCAGTTACGCAGCCAATAGCGCGAGACATGAGAATAAAACTGACCTGCATTCTCTCGATTGTCTTATCCCTGTGTAAAATCTTCTACCTAACCTTGCAGTTTATGTTGACGTCATGAGTGGGGTTGAAGTTTTCACGGTCACAAAAGCCGAGGTTTAATACTTGCCGATGGCCAATAAAAACATGAGGGCCTATAAATCTTTATCAATGATACCTGCGTTGATCCAAGATCACACTGGATGAGATAATAAAAGGATGGGTTGTAGATGTGGGGGAGAGGGGTAGAGGTGCAGAAAGTGGGGAGGATGGAAGAGAACGAAAGGTTGTGCCATCCTACCTACATCTACATGTAGTTTACTCTACCGTGCACTAGCTTGCTGGTTGAAACAAACGCTTTAACCAAAAGTAGTCTAATGAATAAACAAGCTTTTCTGCATCGTTGACTACTGTCATGTGCTTCATAAGTAGGGACGATTGCCTTATGCCCCTCAGGATAGATTTATTCGTAACGAATTCTTTCATCTTAGCACTGATAATGGATTAGGTTTCACTTGGGCATGCGCATTTTCTTTCTTTTTCGTTTTTTTTACCATGCCATCCTTACCCTCATGTATGGGATATATACGTATTTCTGATGAATCATATTTAAATTGCTGCACGTGTTGTGAGTGATTCACAAGCGAAAATCCCTGTTCGCATAAACTTCGAGTGACAGAACATGATCTGAAATTTCAGTATATATATAAATCACGTTACCAGTACCTTTCAAATACATATATATACAAAAAATCCCAGCTAAAACTCCAACTTCCTCTTCAAGAAATCAATCGTTGTCTCCATAGCACCCTCAAATACACCCTTCTCAAAGAATGTAAAGTGTCCTCCCTTGTGTATCGACAACTCTTTGGGCTCACTTGCCTGGTTAAACAACGATAACACCACATCCGGTGCACAAAGATTATCATCGTCCGCCTGTAAGAGTAACCACGGTGTGGGACTGACCGCTTGGATATAACCCTCCGGGTTGTAGTTGAACAAATGGAACATACTCTGGGCCGTGTACTTATTCTCCCATTTCGGTGCCTTGGTCTTCTGAAGCCCAAACAAGAATTTCTGTGCGTCTTCGGTGGGAACAAACGAGGGTATAGCAGGGTCTGAGCTGGTGATCAACATAGTCGCACCCTCACCACCGGCGATGACATTCTCTCTATCAGCCCTAAGCATTGCATCCACTTGAGCCCTCGTACTCCGTAACATATTGCGGTTTAGAATCTTAACGGTTGATATCAGCGGCCCGATAGTTACGACGGCCTTAACACGCTTGTCGATAGCGGCAACCTTTACACAATGGCCACCCGCGAGTGAGAATCCCCAGATGGCGATTTTAGAGGCATCGACTTCGGGCAGTGAGCTCAGGTAGGAGATAGCGTCATAGTAGTCTTCGGCTTGTTTATGGGGATTAATTTCTCCGCGGAGTGTGCTGTCACTTGACCCGATGTTACGGTGGTCGTAGATAAGGGATGCAAGCCCGGCTTTTTGAAATAGACTGGCGACAACGTCGAGGTTCATTTCTTTGGCAGCACCCCACTGGAGAAGTTAATGATCCTGCAGCTTGAGCTTGAGGAGATTTGGGAAAACGTACACCATGAGTAACGACAATGGCAGGAGACTTTGAAAGTTTGCCGGAAGCAGGATAGAACCAGCCGCGGAGAGTAAGGCCGTCAAAGGTTTTGAATTCTACGTCTCGCCTTTCGGGGGAGCCTTTGCAGTCAGGTTCTTGAATGTATGTGTAGGCCATTTTGGAGTATCGTTCGGGGATTAAGATGGAGGATGTTGGAATACCAGTGAGTTGTGGGGAATAAAGCCCCAAAGGTGCGGGAGCGCGCCCTTATATACCTCACGCCATTGACTACCGATGAAGTCAATTCTTCGTCAGAGCTTGAGGAGTGTGGGGTATTCTCTCGGTCTCGACTCCCTGAGGAGTTGTGGTTGCTGATCACAGACGTAGACGTATTTGCTTTATGTCCGCAAAGACCCAAAACATCCTCAGGTTACGTTGCAGATACCTATTTATGATATCCCGCGCGAAGATGTTGGATGGCGTTGGAACCACAAGTACATAGTTTGTTGATCTTTGCTTCTTTGAGTTGCGGGGCGTGTATGCGCATGCACCAACGGCTCAGTTGTCATGAAATGTCACTCGGTGTAAAAATTCCTTAAGTGGGCTTGTGCACGCATAGGAAGTGGATACTACATGTAGCGATCGTAAATATAGATGTATTGACCCACTGGATCTTGGATTATTTCAATTAGTCCCCGGACCGAGAATCATGTCTCCCTTGGTGGAGACGCCCAGGCACTTCGTTTTTTTTTTTTGTTTAATTCATTAATTGCATGCAACCTTACAGTTATGGCAATAGCCCCTGAACTTCCCTTTCTCCTCCGCCAGGCACTTCTTCGAAACTGTCAGCTAAGAGATTTTCCTACGGCTTTCAGAACTGTTGAGGCTGGTACTCTAGTGAAATGCGCACGGCCTTCTCTTTTCCTTGGCTTCTAGGGCGTTCATCTTAGAGAATACTTATGATTGCCATATCCGTACTCGGGGCAGGTAAAAAGTACCGGACAATGCAGGTCTTTGGTTCACCAATGGGCGCGCGTACTAGGCGTGAACTACTGCAAAAAAAGCCCAGAGACAAAACTTGCATTGTCCGGTACTTTTTGCCTACCCCGAGTATCTTTGTACTAGTAGAAGAGCATCCCCAACCACCGGAAATTTAGTTGGACCAACGTGGGGGACAGAACAATCGCTCTATGTCATGCCGTCTTTAGGTGCCGAGTGCAAACCCGGATTTTGTTAATCCTGGAGGTCCGCGAATGCCACGTGTGGTCAAGCATCGCCGTGATGAAGTCGCACGGCCCGCAGTCAGATTGTAAATTGGCCCGAGGTGTCTCAACTTTATCTGCGGTAGAATAGAGTACATACCTCGAATAGACTTAGGGCCCGTTCGGACAACCTTAGATTATTTCTTCGGATTATTGGACAGACTGGATTATCAGGTAGCGAAAATGATAATCATAATACTCATAATAAGTGGATAATCTACATGTCCGGATAAGGTTGAAATAGCATTAGGCTCTCAGGATATCTGTGTTGCGTGAGAATAATTACCCCCGAAGGTGGTTGCTTTCTTGGCGGATTATATATTGGGATAATCGGGAGTTCCAGATGTTCGATTATTCAATTGCACGAACAGCATAGATAATTGTGATAATCTAAAAGTCGATAATCCGTTAGATTCTCGCCAATAATCTAGATTATTGGGATGTCTGAACGGGCCCTTAGTATAGAGGTAAACCTCCAGTCTCCCCAATAGGTTTATCCGCTGGTGGATATCGAGTGAGGCCCGGTGACGATGTTCTTCTAACCAATATGGGCAGGAATACATCGAGTTCTTGTGGGTTATTGGTTCCTTTGGGTCGAATGCGACGGGCTACTTAAGACCAATACGTATCATCGAGGTAGAGAGGTAGATTGTTGTATGTTTGCTAGGAGGGTATTATAGCTCTTAATAACCCTTCCTGTAACGGTCTTAATGGTTACGTGAAATCAAAAAAAAAGAGTTGCCCAGCTTGACCCCCGATAACCTAGCTATAGGAAGAGACCACTAGCATCCCATTCAGAGGCTGACAAGAAACTGAAGTGACCGTAGGAGCACACATAAAGTCGAACTCATGTTATGAGTTGAATATAATGTTATTTATTATTGGGCCAATATCCATGCTGTTGAGTGGTGGTCATCAGCGTTCAGTGGAGGAAGTATTGGAGGGTGCTCTGATCTGTGACGTTCTTTCTCTGTACCTATATGTATGTATAGTTATTTCTTTCTGTCCTAGCTACATGTAGTCACGGATCCCTCTCAAAATATATAGGTCACCTCACGGCAACCAATATTGCCTACTTTCATAGCCGGCGGCATGATATGTGTGGAATGGGAATTTACGATCGTCAAATTCAAACATCTACCCCACTAAGACAGAGGTAATAGAGAGTCATCATGCACAGTTGTTGGAAAGGATCACCAACTCCAAGCACCTCTTCATCTATCGTAAGAACGCCAATAAATAAGCTAACATTACTTATGAGACTCTATATCTCAACTCACCGCTACGATAAAATCAAACTAAGCATAAACCAAGCTTTAGGCCAAAACTTACCTCTATCCTGAGATATCGTCCACAAACTGCTTGATCAGCGCCTAAATACGCAAACACGTACATTAGCATGCATTCAATGACATCAAAAATGGAGCGCGAACACAAACCTGCATATCCTTGGCCGCCTCCTTTCCAGTTTCCAAAACCTCCTCGTGATTTGCCTTCCCCACCTCCATTACACCCTTCAGTTCGCCAACATCCTTCCCCTCGACCAAGACCGCATCACCTCTTGGTCCCTCCTCCAACACTGATTTATTCGTCACCAGACTCATTGCCAACACCCGAAGCCCGCAGTGCCGCGCCACAATGATCTCAGGCACCGTACTCATACCCACGCAATCCGCGCCCATCATCTTCAGCATCCTACACTCCGCACGGGTCTCGTACGACGGCCCGGATACAAATACATACACGCCCTCATGAAGCTTCCGGGTCTCTGTCGTGCCCGGCAGCTTCTTATAGCTCTGGTGCACAACCTTTCGCAGCTCGAGATCGTATGCATCCGAAAGGGCGGGGAAGCGCGGGCCCCAGGAATCATTATTGGGTCCTCGGAGAGGATGCGCCCCAGAGAGTCCAGGAAGATTAATGTGCTGGAAAGGTTAGCTTGGGAATAGCATGGAGTGAAGGGGTCACTACGTCGTTGATGATCATCATGTCGCCAACGGAGTAAGCGGGGTTGAGCCCGCCAGCAGCGTTTGTGACGATGATGGTGCTGATACCAAGAAGCTTCATGACGCGGGTGGGGAAGGTCACTTTCTCGATCGAGTGTCCTTCGAAGAAGCTGTTTGTGCAATTGTTAACTCTGTTCACCGGCCGGAGGAGCAGGTACTTACTGTACACGGCCAACCATCATCACGACGGGGGTCTTCTTCTCGCCGAGTAGGCCAAAGACAAATTTACCGGCATGACCGACAACTGCGGGGCGGGTTAGCTAGGGGCGCTCGTGGAAGAGAATGGGCTGACCGACCGGTGGAGTGGGGGAAGTTGGGGATCTTGGTGTAAGAGATTTCGAATTGAGGAGAGCTGTGAAGAGTCTCTGCAAGACCACCGAGTCCAGACCCACAGATGATACCGATACAAGGTTTGGAGAGAGCGGGGGGGAGCTGTGTCCTGATGTGGTATGCAGACTGGGCTGCAAAAGCGATTGTGGTGGTGGTAGTAACTTCGGCCATTGTGACAGAGGAGCTGAGGCTTTTGATTTGTAGGGCTGTGAGGATGCAAATGAGTATAATTGAGAAGAAGGAGAGCTGAGGGTTGGGAGATATGCCGTTGGAGGAGGTGTGTGTTGTGGAGGTATCGGGGGGAGGTGGTGTAGGAACCTCCCGTCGGTTGTCATGGCACAGCAACGGAACTCGCCGTCACCCCACGCACCCCGCCATTTGTGTTACGGAGAGATTATATTTCACAAGAACTCGCTCACTCGTCAACCGTAGCCAGATATCCCTTCTTATTAAGTATTGATTACTGCACTACAAACAGTCTCCCACCAGCTCTACCAACTTCACAAACGCATCCCCGTCCAGCTCCTTCTGCTGCAGCCCCAACCCAACAACTAGCATCCGCCCCTCCTCCTTCCTGCGCATCGCCAAAACAGATGCAAGCTGGACGGCAATTGTCTGCCCAAGCGCCTCCCGCTCCTGGACAGTTCCGCCAAGGAGGGTGGTTGGCGTCAAATGTGATAGTGGGAGAAGCCCGTCTTCGTCGTCGGGTGACTTGCCTTCGAGCAGGCCGGGATGGTGTCCGTCGAGGGGTACATGGAACTGGATAGATATGGCGGTAAGCATGCGTAAAAACAGTGATATGAAGATAGGGCAGAAAGGTAGATAGGAATGTACCCATTGCGCAAGGCGGCCTTGTTGCGTCAGCGTTATGACGATCTTATCGGCAAAGGAGATTACGCTGCAGTCGGTGTGAATGCCATCAATGAGGCAGGCTGACTGCTTGGTCGAAGCGGGGAACGGGGACTCGAGGATGGTGGCCATTTTTGTGGTGATGAGAGGTAGAGAGCTACTTAGATGAGAGATCGTGTAGGCGAGAGGAGTGACGCTTGGCAGGGTTTATTTATTTGTGTAACGTTGATGGGCTTAATTGATCCTAGAGATCTACTAAACCATCGATAGGCCCGTCTAGTACTAACCACAGGTAGTAAATTACTCCCACCCCATCGACGATTGGCTACTGAAGAGTGCCTAAATACTAATTGAGGATAGGTACCGGTATTGTTTTACCAATTCCAGGGAATGATTCCCTGCAATCGGCGCCACCATTAGTGGTTCGTTCATGGAAGATCACTCGATCACATGTGGTGCTTTACACAGGGAGATCACTGGCACCGTGTGATTGGGCAATAACTCCTCTTTTCTATTAAACCACCCTTTTAATAGCATTTCAGAGAGAAAAAAGTCGAATATACATGTATGTACCTGTTAGTCCATGGCAAAGAAAAACTAGTGACATATTGGTAACTATAACCTCATATCCCTGGATAGATATCAATCTTCAAGGAGGAAGACTATATATCCTTTTATACCTACTGTAAGCTCGTGCGACTAAGGGGAGGAGATCATATATTGTTCTTGAAATATATATAGTAAAATTTAGCCCTATCTCTATTTGCCGAGAGAAAAACAACTGGCCGGCTTAATGTGGTAAAGGTTGGTTTTAGAAAAAAACGGCAGCAAAAACTGCAGCAGGTTAGGCTGGGATGGTTGGAACCACCCACATATACGTTAACCGCCCGATCCAGGATTCCAACCCGGGCCGCTGATACAGTGACAGTAACTGCTGAGGTTACAAATGTACTCCCTAAGCTAAATCGAACGCTCATTTGCTGTTTCGTGTCCTAAATCAATGTTAAACACCATCCAACGTGACAGGAATTCAGAAGGCTCGTTGAGGTTATCTTATCATATGTATCTTTTCCGAGTCTTAATCAGGTCTACACTAAGATCAGGAAATCATCTGGCTATTTTGCGTTGTCTCGTTTTGCCCCCCCCGGGCCTTAGGTGATACTGAAGACTTGGAAGGAAAAAACGGGTGGGTTAAGTATACTGTGTATTTTCCTTGCCCCATCCTCTTCATAAGAAGAGGAGGGGGCTTTTTTACGCTAAGTCACCCCCGCCCCAAGCCTGCCCTTCCTCCTACGTATTGAAGAGGGGGGGGGGGGGGGGGCTTTTTTGTATTGAGTCGTTTTCTCCACCCCTGTTAAGTCCTGGCTGAAACCGAGGACTTGATAGGTGTAGAATAATCTCTTTCGGTGGAGCTATATGAGGTCAAGACATACATAACTCGCACGAGGTACATGTATATTATATATGACGCGTGCGTAGCCCCAAGAGTCAAAGGGTTGACTGTTTCGGTCGACGTTGTCCCTTGTAAATGATCGTAGGGTGCTATTCTAGGGTTGTCGAAAATCAATAGGAATATAGAGACGACTGGAAGCAGAGGTACGGTGTCGGACAGCCAAAACCAGCCGGCCAGAGCAACCACCGACTCCCCTTCACCCCATCGACTTTCAACAACGCAACACTTGTCCAAAAATAATGTTCTTTTGTATAATGGGTCTAATCATGGTTGTAAACATCCCCATAAAAGGTGATTTAAAATAATTAAAAACTGACTGCACTATGACCTCTCAAACATTTGGTGCAATCTGCCCGAAAAAAACATAGGTGTGAAATAATAACTTTAATAGCCTTATGCCAAGGCGGCCACATTAATTGGGATAATTCTTACCCTATTGGGATGATTCGATGATTATTATTACCCGATTAGGACTAGTTTCTGGCTTGAAAAGAACATGAGGGTTGATTTTGACTGTCCGGCGCTGTACCTCGGTACCGCCCCTCCTGGTTGCACGTAAGCCTAGGCCCTAGTTCTCTTCTACTCCCCGGTCAATGCCAAGACATGAGCGAGTGAGCGTTCATGATGCACACCTGAATTGTGGGAACTGAAAGAGCGGTGACCTCAATCCAGGGCGTCATGACTATCTGAGGAGCATACTAGCCTGCATCTAATACTAAATAAGATTTGCCTTCGAAACGGAGAGCTTGAGTAGTGGGCAAAGCATTTATATTTTCTTAAGAAAGAGCTGAATAGCTAATAGTATGATATGATATGATCCTCGCAATCGACTAATTATAAAGCTAGCCTTTAGTTATTGCAGAAAATCTGAGTAAAAGACCATAAATCCGAAATAAAGACAACCATTAAGAAACTCTTCTCGTATCCAATTGCAACCAAGTATCAAGCAGGAGCCGGCCCAAATCTGTACCGAACAACAGGAAGCTTCTCTCCATGCACCCTCCTCAAATGCTGTAACAAATTATCCCTGCGGGAGAATCCTTTTGCCCCAACCTTGTCGCATCCCACCACAGTACAATTAAGTAGCTCCTTCCCAAGCCCGTGCTTTGTCCGACAGTGGCGATTAAAGTCGTTTTTGCTCTTGGAGATATAAATACAATTGCCGTTACTGAGGCAGGTAATGTGGAGACGTTTCCGTACGCGCTGACATTTGTGGGGGCCTCTGGTCGTGGTATATTGGTATTAGTTTATGTAAAGCAATTAATATGGTGGATTTAGGTTGAAGAACTTACAGTAAGTCCCCTTTGCATTTCCTGTCGCAGAGGACCTCTACAGAGAATCCCCCAGGCCGAACACCAACTGCGTGTGCAGGAAGGTTAATGAAGGCTGGCTTTGTTGCGGTTGTGATTGGGCACTGTTCTTGAATGGGGATATAAATATTTGGTGTGCTCAAGACCGGTGGAAGTTCAATTGAGGATCTTCCAGGTTGAATATTAACTGTGTGCGTAGGAAGGTTAATGAAGACTGTTTCTACCCTCCCTGCTAAAGGGGTTGGTTTATGGTTTTTAACAAATTTTGGTGTGCTGCCTAATTATAGACGTGTCACTTGTGTATGTATAAGTACATGTAGAAAGGCCGTCTCTCTCTTTAATTCGTATTAATAGAACTATGTATCCTATTACCTGCTGAGACTTCCTACACTGGAGTACACCGCCCAAACTCAGGTAGCCCATTTTTAAAAACGACGGCAGTGTTTGGAAGCTAGTAGAACAATCATGATTACAAGGCGGCGACTCCTGGGCCAACCAGAGGACCTATTTCTCAAGTGTACATTTGAGGGTATAAATGGGTATAATACATGCAGTACTACATGTAGTACTGCACTTTTGAATACCACCCTCATAGATAAAAATCGGTAAAGATAAAGATTCTTCATTATGTATCTATTATCTAGCCTTTTCGTTACGGGATTTTAGCATCTGTTATGGCGAAGGGCCTTAGGCAATTAATTGACTTTTATGTCATCATCAAGATCATCGGGGGCACCATATAAGCTTTTTTCCCCTTCTCTTTTCTAAATAGAATACATGTAGTCATGTCACGTATCTCTGTCATCACGAAAGTAACGTTAAACGGACCTGAGTAACAGCTTAAGGGAGGCCATGTAGGTACATGTAGTCAACCAGAGGCATTTATTGACGCAAAGTATACAGAATAGAATGACCTTGTGAGTTTCTTAGATTTCGTGATAGTTATACGAATATGCATTTATATTTACTCCCTAGATTCGTGAACTCGACCAATGCTGCTTATAGTTGATCAATTGAGGAACAAGGCTATTTGGGCCAATAGAAATCTGGAGGACCAGGAGATCCTGCAGCTTGCTATATTTAACATATAATCATGCACCAACTAGCAGTATTTGTCGAGTATATATATCCCAATACCGGCCAGCACGGCCTCATGAGTATCCTTCCGCGAGTAATCTAAGCATGACACGCCCAACATTGAGATATCCATGCTAAGCCACAAAGATCAGTTACCATTATCAAGGTATATATCAGAAGGAGTTCTAGATAAAAAGCCACCCGCACTGCATAACCGATATCTACCTGATAGCAAGCTGCCTTTCCACCACACACCTTCTGAATGGGGGCTGGGCTATATATATCAATCAAGTTGTCAACGCAATAATTAACCACCTGCTCATTTCCCCACTGCGGAAGAACAATACCATCATGAAGAAGCATATCGAGTGGTAAACATTGGATGACTAGATCAGTTCCAGGATAGATGCCGCCGACCAGAGGAGTTCCGTCGACGGTATGTCCCAGTACGTCTTTCTTCGCGACTCTGTTGCAGCAGTTGAGTCGAGCTTTGCCACATATTGCCTGAGCTTGGCGGATGGTGGGTTCCCCGTTTGTGCTGCCGGCATTGGGAGTACTGTTGACGATACTGGCACTGGGCGTCTCGGTGATGCGGGCGGTGGATGTAAAGTCTGCATATATATTAGAAAAAATTTAAAGCCGTGAGGTTTAAATAAGGTTACAGAGCCTCTGACCGGCAACATGTCCTTCTGGGGGTATACACTAGATGAAACCAATGCTTGATGGCGACGGCGAGGGTGGGGATGATGAGACCGAGGAAAAGCATGTTTGAGGCGGAGAATTCTACTTATTTTTGATGAAATTTCGGAAGGATCTCGTAGTGAGTAGATATGGGCCCATGGATTCTCTTTTCCTTTCCACCGACGTCTAACAATTGCAAGCGTACGACCTTATTATATATATATCTTTCCCAGCTTCTAGAGAGCCAACTACATACTCTGAAGAGCTGCGTCTCGACTACATGCGCATATGCTACATAGGTAGATCATCTACGCAAGGGGTAGGCAGGGGTGATATATCCACCTGCACCAAATACCACCCGCAGCCCTAGTACTCGAATAGACATCAGTTTTTACGACATATATCCCTTTCTAGAGTCATAGACATATATACATGTTATGCATGTTCGTTGATCATACACTGTCGGAGGAACAACTAATTTACATACACGTGACTCAGATAACCTACATTTAGCCGCAATCTGACTAGTCACGGCTACTACATTGTAGTGAGTGCCATTGACTGCATCGTAGTTGATAAAGGACAACAATGACAGTTGGTCAGTTAGAAGAGCGGGTACGTGCCCATTCATGATTACTATTCTCTCTACTAACAAAAATGTATTAAGGAATCTCCCACCTTAATAAAGATTCTCGATTCAGATATAACCTGGCGATACGTGGAACAAGCATAGATACTAATTAATATATATATCAGCATCAGAGCTTATATTCGTGGACAATCATCATAAACTTCACTCTAATGGACAGTTAATTGCGGGGGGTAGGATGCTGGATGTCGTTAATCCATGAACGTGGTGCTCGCTCTAACTCGATCAACCCGTGGTTTTTCTAAGTATTCGATGATCTGCCGCATGCACCTAATTAATAACTAAATCTGCTCTACTCTGTGTGAGTACGTATAATGATCACCAATCGTAAACACACATTCGGCTCAGGAATGTAAGCTGGCCTCTATCTCGGACTTCTACTCCATGTACAGCCACTCATCAAAAGTGTTCGTGATATAGTTTTAATGTCAGTGCGTAGTGTGGCGCACCCGTAATACTGATGCTCTACTACGAGTGGAAATGCATCAGGAAATGCATCAAATCTTTGGTGGGGAAATGCATCAGGAAATGCATCAAATTTTGTATGGTAGAAATAATTAAAATCGTGTGGTGGAAATAATTAAAATCGTGTGGTAGAAATAATTAAAACTGTCGGGTAAGGGGATCGGGAAATGCATCAAATTTTGTATGATGGAAATAATTAAATTGTGTGGTGGAAATAATTAAACTCGTGTGGTGAAATAATTAAAACCGTGTGGTGAAATAATTAATATTTTGTATAGGAAGAAAAGGGATGGAAAATGGTTTTAAGTGCAATGGCACGCTTTTACATTCAATTTACATTCAATTGACATCCATTAATTATCCCATTTCCTCAACCGAATTTTGTCAAAAAAAAAACCGAAAAAATATATGGATGCCTATCTACATCATTACCCAGATAAGGGTTGAACCTCCTACCTTAGGCTGACATAGCTAGGACTATATCAACTAGTATACTAGCTGAATTGATGTAGATGACCGTTTTGGAACACCTATAGGCCCAGGAATATATGTGGTAATTTTTTCAAAAAACATTAAAGGGACCGAAAAGGGACCGAAAAAGGAGAATAAATGGAGGAAAAAAGGGATCAAGGGAAAATGGACAGCAAATGGATCCAAAATGGACAGTAAATGGATATAAAAGGGACATAAATGGGATCCAGGAGATCGACCTTTGGAAAAAGCACAGTAAATGGACGGCAAATGGACACAAAATGGACATAAATTGGATCCCGGGGTCTACAATGGGAAAAGACACAGGAAATTCCACAGTAAAAGGGATGTAAAAGGAAGAAAGTATACATTTCCAACAGACGCACCCCTGTTGGCACATTTCCATGTGCCTTTTCCCAAAATTTTGTGTGGGAAATGTGCTATTTGATGCATTTCCACTCGTAGTAGAGATGTTATTAAATTAAAGTTGAGATTCAAAACGGCGAAAAATATATATAATATAGTTTGTGACTACGTATAAAAAGAAGATAGGTCATTGATCTTATTCTTCATTAATTTGGGCGCCATTGGTCACTGGGGAAGTCTTCTCTTGGGTGGGGGGGTTCTTGATGATCCGCCGCGGTTACATATGGAGAAATGTCTCACTCTGAAATCGGAATCACGAACACTTTTGCGGAGTGGCTGTACCTATATGAAGTAGTTATCACAGTCCCTTATATATCCTACCCGAATCTTCTGACTTGCATAAATCACACAGTACTTCCAGTCAGTACTAGTCCTAGTTTGGAAGGAGTAGTAGCTGTTATCGATAAGGAAATGATCGATTGGTACCCCGCTATAAATGCACCTGCCTCAGCTTGATCAAGCACCCCGACAGCAACGTCCTCACAGCACCGATATCGTTTCTCTCAATTGAATTATCTATAATAAGGCTTGTTAGGTAGGTCTGATTATATCTCAACCTATACAACCTGAAATTCAAACAGATCTAATATATATATATATATATCATGAGCAGTACTAGCAATCCAAATCACCTAGTACAGCATCCCGTACCGTAAGTACCAAATCAATATGGCACCACAAAAGATCATAATAGATACCGATCCCGGAGTGGACGATATGCTCGCACTTCTCCTCGCTCTCTCCGCCTCCCCCGACGAACTCGAGCTCCTTCTCATTTCCCTCACCTTCGGTAATATCAACATCGAGAACTGTCTCCGCAACACAGTCTCGCTCTTCCATGTCCTCGACCTCGAGAAGCAATGGCGCAGCTCCCGCGGCCTCCGCACCGGTTTCTCGGCCCTCGAGAACACAAAGCCCATTGTCGCTATAGGCGCAGACCGGCCCCTCGAGGAACAATTACTCGCCGCAGACTACTTCCATGGCCTTGACGGTCTCGGGGGTGTCCACACTACCGTAACCAATCTCCTTCTCCCAGAATCAAGTATACCTTATACAGACTCATACTAACCTCCTCCTCCTCCTCCTCCTCCTCCTCCTCCAGGCGCCCCATTTCACCCCCTCCGAAACATGGTCTCACATCTTCAACTCCACAGCCGCCACCCCAGCACCCCCAAACTTCACACCCTCCTCCACCCCCGCCCACCTCGAGATCCTACGCATCCTCGCAGAAAACCCACCAAACACAATAACCATCATCGCCGTCGGGCCACTCACCAACATCTCCCTCGCCGCAACCCACGACCTCCCAACCCTCCTGCGCGCCAAAGAGGTCATAATAATGGGCGGCGCAATCGACCAAGAGGGCAACGTCACCCCCGTCGCCGAGTTCAACCACTACGCCTGCGCCTACTCCGCCGCGCACATCTACGCCCTCACCTCACCCCACCCCTCCGGCACGCTTCCAATCGGCAGCCGCTTCACCCTCAACCAGGCCCCCGCCCCCGAGAGGCCGCTGAAGCTCAGCATATTCCCCCTCGACATCACCAACCGCCACCTCCTCAGCGAAGCGGTCTGGCGCGCCGCCACAGCGGACCGCAAGGCGCAGGGCAGCCCGCTGGCGCAGTGGTGCGACGTCTTTGTGACGGCAACGTTCAAGAAGATGAAGGAAATGTACCTGCAGAGCACCGGCGGCGGCGGCGAGGCTGCGCGGCGCGACACGGTCGACATCAGCATGCACGACCCGCTGTGCGTGTGGTACGCCATCTCTGCGCTTGCGCGCGGCGAGGAGGGGTGGGTCGTGCACGAGGGGCGGGACATCAGGGTTGAGCCGGCGGGGCAGTGGACCAGGGGTATGTGTGTGGTTGACCGCCGGCCAAAGAATGTGGAGGAGAACTTGGCGGAGGCGGTCAAATTGGGAGATGTGGGCGTGTGGCTGCATAGGGGCCATGGGAACCGCGTGAGGCAGGTGGTGGAGAGTCCGGAGGGGACGGATCGGAAGTTTGGGGGGTGGATGTTGGAGAGGATCTTTGATGTGGTGTTGTAGGGGGTGGTGGTGGATGTAGGACTGGGGTTTAATCTGTGGTTTGTGGTGTGAGTTTTTTTTGGTTGAGTTTTTGGTTGAGTGTAAATGAGAGGATTGGAAATGATCGAATAGGCTTTTTCTTTTTGGCAATCGTGAAAATACTTGTAGGTATGTAGATGTAGATAAATTTTTATGTAGCAAGTCGGCAGCCGGGACTCGTATCTAGGAGATACATGTACGTCCTATCAATCCCCAGCTCTCTGATCATATCAATATCTTCGAATTCTTTATATCCTTTGCGGTCCGCGTAGAGTTATAGTCGTATGTATATACATACAAAATCACGACAACTTTTGTCACCCAATAATATCTCTTGAACAAAAAGAAATCGGGAGGAGTACAGATCTGAGGTTTCAGTCTAGGACTTGAGCCAAGTTCACTGCAACTCCGAGTGGATATCGATCATTGACCTGAAGGGACACTACACGGCGGCATCACCCGGCGCTGCGGAGGAGAGCAAAACCCTAACCCTGGACACTGAAATTTAACAAACTTTATTTTTTATTTGTGGATGTATCTACCGATAGAAAAAAGAACAAGCACAAGAATACATGTAGTCTATCTAACACATCTAAGTATTACAGCCCCCCCTCCCCCCCCTCCCCCCCTTCCAAACCTCAACAACACTTCGGGGGTGCGTCTATAGCTATCAAAATAAAAAATAATATAAAAAAAAAAAAAAAGGATCAATGTGATAATAACCCCCCCCCCCCCTCTTTAGTAAAACCTCCCCACTTTCGTCAGCCCCTCCTCGTCGCCGCTCCGGATCTCGTGCTCAAGCAGGTCAAGCCCCAGCATCGACTTTGCAATCTCGCACCCCCGCGCGCGCTCGGCCTCGATGCGCTCCCACGTCCAGTACGCGTCCAAGCACATCGCGGCCGCCGTGGTGTCGGTCGCCGTTATCGCGGCGTCCAGCTGCGCCAGCACCTCCTTCTCGCTCTTGTGTGCGCCCCCGTTCGCCAGGTTCTTGATCTCGCCGTTTCCGTTCGCGGCGGGCGCGACCTTGGCGCCGGATGCCGAGGACTCGATGGGCCGCGGTGGCAGCAGCTGGCACTCGGTAAAGATCTCCTCGGGCTTCACGGTGATGCGGCCCATCTTGAAGACATACTTTGACAGCGCGCTGGCAAATATTTTCCTGCTGCCGTCCTTCTCCTTCTTAATGCTGACAAAGTGGGACACAACCCAGACCCACTTGCCGTCCCAGCCGAGCAGGCGCGAGACAATCTCGTACTTCTCGAACGGCTTGATTTCGCGGCGGAAGAGGCAGGTCACGCCGGCGAGGGCGACGTAGAGCGAGCGGCGGGTGCGTAGGGAGCGCTTGATGAGGTGGCAGATGAGGTGGGTACGCGCAATGTCGAGGTCGGAGAAGTACGTGCTGTTGGATTTGTGAAGGTTGAGGTCGCACTCGTAGAGGGGGGAGCGGGAGGTGGAGGAAATGGGGGAGAAGAGGTGCGAGGGGGTGGGGTGGAGGGAGCGGCGGCGGAGGAGGTGGTGGAAGAGGGAGCGGTAGAAGCGGAACTAGAGAGGGGGGGGGGGGGGGGTTAGTATAAAAGCGCATGTGTGGTTCGAAGGGGAGGAATTGGGGTGCAGGAGAGGAGAAAACTCACGTGCCACGTCAGGGGAATGTTCTTGATATTGATGAGCGCCATGAACACGAAGAAGATCTTGAACATTGTGCCCCAGCCCAGCGGGCCCGTCGGGGTGAGCTGTAGGAGCTTGCTGAACACGGCCATGGCGAAGGTTTCGGGTGCGGACGCGGTCGTGTCGTCGAACAGCGGTTGGGAGGTGTTGGATATTGTCATCGCGCCCAAGAGGGAATGGCAAAGCTTATATCTAGGATTGGATCTGAGGCTATGCGCCAAGAAAGAGAGCCGGAATGTGATCGATCAAAAGACAGATTTTGGCTGACTTGTTCAATTAATTCGTTGCTCGTGAAAGGCCGAGGAATAAGCAATGTTTAGTTGGTCTGGTTGGCTGGCTGGCTGTCTGACGGGGGCTAGCTAACTGGCCGGCGCAGGGGTTTTGTGGGGGTTGTACGTGCTACTGTAGATATTTCAGCGGTCACGTCTTCCTCGAGAAGAAGATATGAGGATAAGAAGGAGCTGATGGAAAAGAAGAGGAAGAGAGAGGAGCCTTATGAAAGAGTCGAGAAAGAGAAAGAAAAAAAAAAGGGACCAAGGCCTAATTGTCCCGCTATGTAGCAAAAAGGGGATAGAGAGTTATATGAGTGACAATTAATGCAACTGGATTCGGACGCCTATTAATACCGAGATCCATTAGTTAGAGCAGAGCCTGGTTTGAGCCTAGATTGCGCACCTCACTTCACTTCAACCTCAACCACCACAAACCACCACAGCAACCATAAACCCCAATCCCCCCAATTCCCCCCAATTCCCTCCTCCGGAGAAATATCAACACCGGCTGCAAGACCAGATCTGGAAAATTCGGGAGACCGGATTCCACGGCTCCGAAGGAAGAAGCCTCAACAGAAAAGAAAAGAAAAGCCCAACCAAATGCCTTCTGGAACCAATTAATGCCCTACATACCACAGGGGTCGAGTGACTCCGAGTGAGTTTACTATTTACTTATCAGATGCCAGCCAGACTTGCCGAGGCACGATTCTCAGGGTCAGGGTTGGGTTGGAGTGGTTTTTTGGCGTGTCTTGTGTGCTGGGCGACATTGAGAGTGAGTCTGCAGGGATAGCGGATGACGTTCAATTGCTGAGTGGATGTTGAATATGATATGGAATCGTTGAGAGCGAGAGAAAGCTTGGTGGGGTTTGTGAGATAAGGAAGACATGGTAGATTGAGCAAGGGTCGGGGGGGGGGGGGGGGGTACATACTCTCTCCCATAATATATCGTCACCGGGCATGGCAGTCGAGACTCATAATTAAAGTCAAATAGGCAGAAAGGAACTCGACAACTGTAGCCTGTAAGTACTGCTTGCAGAGTAGACTTGATAGAAAGGGGAACACGCTCTACCGCGCGAGCCCGCTATCCATATCAATGACATATCAAGCGACTGTCTCACCGCTGCAGTCCCACGATATTGTCCTTTGTGTTTACTATCCCACCATGTACCCCCGATCCATTGTTTACTCACATCACAGAATTTAAAGTTTGCAAGACAGTCTTACCCTCCCTTACCTCCCTTACCTTGCCTGGTCGTACCGGGGATGTCGTGTGCTGCACGTGCGGAAGGGAGCGAACCTTAAAGCTGCATGTCTGCAGCACAGCTTAAGCTTTGTCGTATCGATATCAGAAATAAGGTACAGGTATTTTGAGTACATGTATTTCTTATGGGCACCCTGTGAATCCTGGAATCCAACGTGGGTGCCGACAATGCCAGATTGATAGACCAGCTGTCGAGGTTGAAGCCTGTCTAGCTTGCAGATACGCAAAGATCATCTAGGTCTCCAAATCTAGAGAATGCTCGACCAGTGCCCTCACTGGTATATCTATCTGTTCTACTTGTACAGTGCTAAGTGTTCTCAGCTAACAAGCCCAGGCCATATGCATTGCGATCCACAGCTACGTACTACCCGAGCACACACATGCACCCAGAGCCCAAAAAGGCAAAGCTACCACCAACGTACTCTACTCTTCTCACCCATGGCATTGGCCCACCGGCGACGAACACTCAAGTGTATTTATCTACATGTACTTACGCCTCCACGAATCAAGAAGGAAGAGATCTACATATGTCACTAGACCAGACCCTGATCTGCCCCCCCCGGCTGTGCAAATATAACCACCATACCCGTCTTGGCACCCTCTCCCTCTAAAAAGCTTGTTACCACGCGACACCCCCATTCCCATCTCCTCTCCACAGTAATTATAAGCTAACAGCTTCCTTCCTTCCTTCCTACCGACTCTACATATCTATCCCACAGCACCTCCGGGGCCCTTACTTACCGCATCTACAAGTCAGCTACTCAGCACCAACACCATGTTCAAAGTACGCCACCCCCCTCTTTCCCCCTCCCTCCTCTCCCCCTCCTTTCCCACCAAGCTAACCCCTCCCAGCGCTCCCCACCCCTCACCCTCCGCGCCCACCGTGCCACCTCCGTCGTCCTGACCCCGGGCGAACTGGTCGAGATCCGAGCCGCCCAGCGCACCTTCGAGGGCGCATACATGCGCACGGCGCTGTCGCAGTTCAGCTTCGCGCTGGTGATCCTGAAGATCTTCACGCAGGAGTTCTACAGCATTGGCGCGCTCTTTGCGGTGTTTGGCGCCTTCATCTTGGGCGCGAGCATGCTGAGGAGGAGGAGCGGGAATAAGCAGTTCTTTAGAGACGGCGAGGGCGAGGCGGGGAAGAGGTTTAGGACTAGTGGGAATGTGGGTGCTTCTTTTTGACCTTTTGGTTTGGTTTTTTTTTTTTGGGGGGGGGGTAGAGGGGAAAGGACTTTGGTTTTGGTTTTTGGGTCTTTGGAAAGAGTGCTAATGGTGAGCGGTGTAGGTTGTGGCGTTGGTGACGGCGATTAGTGTCGCGGCGTACTCGACGCTGCTGGTGCTGGTTTTGAGGTTAAGTTGAGGGTCTTTCGAACTCTCCTTCTCCTTCACTCTCTGTGTGTTTTGTGTTTTTATGTCTTTTTTTTGTTGTTGTTGATTGGTGGCCATGATCAGATGAATGGGAGAGACTCGAAGGAAAGGGTAAGGGAAGGGAAGGGAAACGGTAGGCCAAAATCAAACCGGACCGGACAGGGCCCATCCCCATGCGTAACGATGAAGTGCAAGTTAGCGGGCGTTTGTTTTTCATATTTTTTTTTTCATAGTATTTTTATTGTATATTATTCTGTAGCATGCGTAAAGTACATGTATCTTTTGCTCGATTTTACTTGACTATTTTCTCTGGAGTACTCGGCGATATTGTTTCCTAGATAGCTAGCTGGACATTTGTTTCTCCACTTACCAGCCCTCACATGAGCCCTCAGCTGGTACATAGCACCATCTTGGCACCCCGACGACGAAGCAGAACAATAGCTGCCAAGCTACATACATATTCCTCCGCCGACCGAATCAATGATACCTCACACATGTCTTTCCATCCGACAGAGCACATCCGACACATCAGCCCAGTCCAGCCCCGGCCCGCAGCAGCACGGCTTTCCCTCTTCTCTCTTTCCCGCCCCGCCGGCCAATACAACCACTTGATCGTGGTCCAGAAAGAGGAAAAAGCATCCTACAAAAAAACGGGGGTTACCGGGTTTCTTTGTTTCGTGGAGCCAATCGCCATCTCAAGGCTTAAAAAAAACGGGTGTGTGCTGGTGGACATGTGCACTTTTTCCCATTTCCCATCCCCCTCCAAAACAACCTGATAAACTGTCGTCTCGCTCGCCGGCCCCATCTCGTTGTTGCTGTCATGTTTAAATAAGATTGATTGATCGATGGGGCGGTCGAAATCCAAACGTCGGTTGGGTTGGGCCCTGCGTCATTAGTTGGAACTTGGCCTGGGCCTGGCCGAGCCAAAAGTAATTATCTACAAACAGGAAAAAAAACGTTTGGATGGATGCTTATGAAGCAGCTGCCGAAACCGCGGGGAACCCTGGCCTTAACTAAATACTTATATATCGACGAGTAATCGATCCGTGCTTGCTCTGGCTTACCATGCCTCTCTACATATGCACAAGTATATGTAAACGCCAAAGGTGAGGTGGAAGGAGAGGGAGAGGGGAAAAAAAACAAAGAAAATCATTACCACTCTTGCCTGTCCGCGAATAGAAACCCCCCCAATAACTACAAGTCTACTCTACAACCTTGTGAAAGTCTCACATCGGCCGATTCCCTCAACCAGACCTGTCTAAGAGTAGATAAGTGACTCTGACAGAGCTTACTCTACATACTACGCACCCACCGCCGATTAGAGTAGAGTTATATAAAAAGCAGACCCCGACCCTTCCCTTCTTCGTTCTGCTCCCCCACCCCACCCTACAGCACAACACAGAACACAACGAGCATTAACTGTAATGCTCGGCCTCCAGCTCCCACTTGCCCTCGCGGCGGCGGCAGCCGCCTACTTGGCTTCGGTCCGCGTACTCAGATACCGCCGTGTCAACACAATCACAAAGAAGCTGGGCTATGAGGGCCTCACGTCCGCCCAGATCTATGAGAAGATCACACTGACGGATGCCCAAACCGTACAAACCGAGCTTTTGCTCCGAGAGTTCCCCAAGATCATGTATGTTTCACTTCAATTTGCGCTCTTCAAGGTAAGGAAGACCCCCCCTCGTCCGCGCCTCTCGAGTCTAGCTAGCTATGGATGGCCGGGCTAAGAAAACAAACCCCATGGGGGTTACATATAGACATATGCCTTCCCATTCATGAGCGCCATTCTCGTCAAGTCCGGGCAGCTCGGCACGGCCAAGCCCGCCCCCAAACGCTACGTCGACACGGTCGTCCTCGTCGCCGAGTGGATGCGCTGGCCGCTCGACTCGGAGCGCGCCTCGCTCGCAATCGCCCGCACAAACTATCTGCACTCGCAATACGCGCAGTACATCAAGCCCGATGACTTCCTCTACACGCTCATCCTCTTCGCCACGGAGCCCCTAATATTCATCTCCAAGTACGAATGGCGGCAGCCCACGGAGCTCGAGAAGGCCTCATTTTGGCGTTTCTGGTATGAGGTTGGTGTTAGGATGAATATACCGCCCGAGACGATCCCGAAGACGTGGGATGCGATGGCAGAGTTCGCGAGGGAATTCGATGAGAAGATGGAGCCGGCGGAGAGCAATCACCAGGTTGGCAAGATCACGTTGGGGATGCTGCTGTGGTGGTGCCCGGAATTTGCGAAGGGATTTGTGACGATGTGTGTTTGCAGCGTGATGGGGGAGCCACTGAGGAAAGCTATGATGTAAGGGATATCCCAAACCTGCCCCCCCCCCCCCCCCCCCCTCCCTCACTCTCCTTCCAGAATATCAGTAAAGAAAATTGATGGGCTTGGATGTTGACATTTGATTTGGGGTACAGGTTTCCCGAAGTTCATCCAGTAGTGCCACCTATCGTCAACTCCGTCATTGCTCTCCGCAGGTTCTACCTAAGGCATCTTAGTCTCCCGCGCATGAGGCGGGTGGAGAAGCTTAGCCCGACTGTGAATCCGGAGACTGGGTGCTATAACATTGCCGTCTATGACGTGGATCCATGGTATGTTTCCGCCGCCCACAGCAATAGCTTCTGGTCCTGGTATGCGTGGGCAACAGGGAGGCCATATATTCAGAAGGGGAAGCATGATGAGGGCGGATACCGTATTGAGGAGGTGGGCCCGAAAGTATTCGAGGGCAAGGGTGTGGATAAGGTGAAGAAAGATGCGGAGAGGATCAGGGAGATGGGCGTGGGTGCCGGCGGGGGTGGGGTTTGTCCCTTCAAGATCTGAGGAGAGGTTGAGTTACGGCCAGTGGAATTGCGGATATGTTGTGTATGGTTGACTATGGGGGGGACTGCGAGTAAGTAATTATACTTGGTTATGTCTCGAGGTGTAGTTTATGATTGTCCACGAATATAAGATCTGATGTTGGTATATGCTTTTGTCCTACGTACCACCAGATTATGCACTGTACCACACCCAAGAAAGTCTAAAATCTTTATATATTAAGGCGGGAGAGGTTCCTTCCCTTTTATATGATTATGAATTTTCCGCAGCCGGCTAATGTAGAGTATAGTAATCACAAGCTTTGGGTTAAGTGATAGGCAAGGTGAAGAGGTAGCATGCAGCCGATAATTCTTTACCAGCGCGCGCCTAGATTCAAGGTATGCCTGCCGGCCACGAGTCCGAGTCCGGAGTTTTCTCATCTCGCATGATGATTTGGGCCTTCTCGAGCCTCTCAGGTACATACGAGATGAAACATCTGGCTGGCTTAATTGATCAGGCGGTAACTAGCTGTGACTGGTCAGACTGCAGCTTGGCTATCTGGATTACAAGTACATGTAGTTGTTCCTCTAATTATGTATGAACGGAGAGAGGAGTACATATGCTGGCTGTGGGAAAAGGATTGTCTCGAACCATGGACTAAGAATGCATTCTGCGGTATGATATCATTATCAATGTAGTTGTTGTATTATATAATGTTTTGCAGTTGATGTGCATGTTCGTGACTTGGCTCATGGGTATGCAAGGTTTGAAGATCAGTTTGTTGAGATGATCCTAGGTACTCAATGACAGTTCATATGTGTATCGTCACCAACGAGTGTGAAAACATTATGTGGCTATATATATAGTTCTATGCCATAAATCATGGGACGGCGCGGCGTAGCAACCTCCCGGGCCACCGCAACTACCCACCCAGCTACCACAATTGATCCTTTGGAGAGCTGGTTTTTTGTATAGTTGTTAAATAGTAGCTAAATAAATAATTTGACATTTAATATCTTGTGTACCAACCCCTTGCCTTTATAACAGCTCTATGCTCCTAGGCATGCTCTCAACTAGCTACCAAATAAATCATCAGGTAACAGTTCCCAGCAATGAATTAGACCTTCCTCCACGAGGGGCTTTAATACTTAAGGTGATCTAGTACCATATGCCAAATGGGGGTACTGTTGATGGTAAAGCTTCTTGAGGTGTACCCAAACATGTTCAATGGGATGGAATAGGCAAGCCAGTCCTCCAGAACATCTACCCTATTCTCCTCCAACCAGAGTTGTAAGACTCCGGTTTTTTGCCACAGCAGGGAGGCTGGTCATTCTCTCCTAGCTGTCTGGCGGGGTACATGGTCTCCAGGCGCCATCGGTGGTGGTGAAAGATTTTGTGTTCAGGCGTTGCGACCTCACGCCTTCCCATGACTTATGGCATGGCGCTGTACATATATAGCCGAGAGGATATAACCGGCCGAAAGACAAAAGAGCCACGACGCTAGTCACACGAGTTTAATAGGTGGTACCAGTGACCAGTCCGGAAGCAGTTGGCGGTAGCTGCCATCTATATCATTGTGATACAACGCCCCTATATAGATATCTCCTCCAAGTTTTACGTTGCAACCACGTTACACAGGCAGAAAAGTCTTTAACTATTAGGCCTCACAGCCCAGAATAACCCCCTGCAGCCATGAGCACCAACCCCCCCCCCCACCTGGCAGGCCACCCCCTCCCAGAACACCTCCAAGCAAGGGCAGCCTTCGCCGCCCCCCTACTCCACCTAGTGGACAAGCATAAGCTCCTCAGTAAGATGGGCCTAGAGGATAAGTCCCCTGCCACTGACGACCTCCTACAACACATCGCCTCCACCTTCCATACCCAAGACCCCGGTTTGAACCCGGTTAAAGCCATCATCTCCCTCCTCCTAGGCCTCTCAACCCAAATTGAGAAACTCACCACAGAGGTCCACACCCTATCCGCGAGACACACCGCCGACGTTACCCTCCTCAACTCACGCATCAATAACTGCACTCCTCAGCACTCCCCAGCCTCCGCCCCCCAGGCCCGCCCTCCCCCTCAACGACAACCTACCAACCAACCTCGCCAGCCCTCACGCCCCGCCCCGGCCATTCCTCTCCCCCAGGGTTCTGCAACCGAAGGAGCAGAGCCCTACCTCAACGACCCCATCGAAACCATCGACCAAAACGGCAATAGACGCCTCCTTACCTATGCCGAAAAACTCAAACAACACCAGAACAACTCCCGTCCCGCCGCCCCCTCCCCCGCCACTTGGAATACAGGCCCCCGCAAACCCTCAGCTCCCCAACCAGCAACAAACCTCCCCACCGCCCAACGCCGGTTCTTCGCAACCAGATCCAACCCCGCCCCCTTCCCGAACCACCAGCAACTCGAAGCGAGACTCCCCTCCGACCTCGGAAGGGTCCTAGCCAACGCAGGCCTCACCCACCCACACACCGCCCTACAGGTCCAGGTCAACCGCAATGGCACAATTACCTGCACCGCCTCCCCCTCCACCCCCGCCAAAGACATCGCTCCCTACTTCCCCGGCCTCCTAGCAGTCCTGAACCTCGCCTGCAGCGCTACCGATAACCCGCTCAACGACTTCCAACTCGCACCAACCAACGTCGACTACGCCATCCACAACGTTCCCATCTTCGCTCTCGACGTCCCAGAATCCCTCTTCACTCCCCACCTCGCCGAAGCAGTTGCCCTCACCACCGGAGCATCTGTCTCCAGAGCCCGATACCTCTCCAAGCCCGAAAATAGAATCGGGAAGACCACCACCTCAATCGTCATCTCCGTCCCTGCCAACGACACTGACAAGATCGGAGACCAAATCCGCCTATTCGGACGCTCCCGCCGATGCAATAAACTCTGGCCAGCATCCCCCAATACTCTCTGCCGCAAGTGTGCCCGCCTAGGACACGCCACAGAAGGATGCCAATCATCCTCACCAACATGCCCACTCTGCGCAGGCAACCATCTCCGCAAAGACCACCGCTGCCCCAACCAAACCTGCCCCAACAACGGCCACCTCAAACCGGTCATTGAGTGCTGCTGTAACGGAGCCATTTCAACTGTCTGGTGTATGAGTACACACAGGGCCCGGTTACATGCTGAGAGTTATTGTTAGAAGCCAGTTGCACAGTGACATGCAAGTACCGGCAGTGTGGTTAGCTACCAACTGTCAGAGTAACTACATTCTGAGCGCTAGGAAGAGGATCTACTCATGGGAGCAATGACTGACGAGTCTGTGCCTCGCCAATGATTAGAAGGCTAGCCAGAGTGAAGCTCTGAGTGCTCAGCGATCCTCCACATCCTCTGAGCATTGGAAGTCCGCCAGCAGTGGAAGAGACTATGCCTGGGAAGTCTACAATAAGCGGAAGCTCTACAGCAATGATTAAGCTTACACCTGAGCGGCAGCTCATTCATGCAGGCCCCTAGTTGTGTGGCAACAAAGGCTGCAGGTGTTACAAAGGCTTTGACTAAGGGTGGTTGCCTTCGGAATCGGAAGCACTCGCTGACGCTTAGAGAGAAGCGGGGTAGCGATGGTATTGCTCCCCTTCCACTAGGAGGCAGCACCGGAACTTAGTAAGGAAGTAGGAGCAGAGAATAGAATCCTTTGGAGTATAAGTACTCAGGATCATTCCCGCCCAACTGACCTGATCCTCATCTTCGAGTAGACCATTATCGGTAGCAGAGCCCTTAAAGATTATTGAGTTCTAGCGATAGTATCTTTGAATAAATCTGCACCTGATTTCTATCTTGCACGGCCGCATCTATTCTATTGGATTCTAGCGATACATAGATAGGCTGCCCCCGTTACAGCTGCGCCACCTGGAAAGCCAAATGCATTAACTGCTCTGGCAACCATACAGCATCCTACAGAGAGTGCCCCGCCAGGCGTACCCGCACATCGCCTGCCCCTCAGGGCTCCGCTCCTGCTCCTCAAACCTCCCCAAACAGCCCCCCACCAGCCACCCACCTCCAACCCGCCACCCCCCAGTCCACATCAGTACCCGCACCTCAACAAGAAGAGGCTGCGGAAGAGGACTCAACCATGTCGCAGTAATGCCAGCACGATCCTCCTCCCTCCCCTCCTCCCCCCCCCCCTCAATCACCCACCATTCAGACATATCCAGCGGAGATCCTTCCAGCAATCTCTTTACAATAATCCAACTGAACTGCGCAAGAAGCAACGCAGTCTTTCTTTCACTCTTTTCTTCCTTCTCTAAACAACGCCCCCCCCAAATTGTCGCAATACAAGAACCCTTCACCCTCCTCAACCACCCCCTTAACGCACCAGGATACGAATGCGTTTACCCCCCAACTGCAGAAGACGAACCCGTATCAGTCGCCTTCTACTTACACCTCGACTTCCTACAACACACCTCCTACTTCCCCATCAACTTCGACAGAGGCGACGTCTTCGGCATAGCCATCTACTGGAGAAACCCCGATAACCCCCTCCTCCCTGCACAACTAGAAATAGTGAACGCCTATAACCGACACATCTCACCCAGCAGAAGATCAATCCTCCCGGAGACGATATTCCGCAACACCAGAAACCCCTCCATCATCTGCGGGGACCTCAATATACACAACATCCGCACCGACCCTCATCGCACCATAAACAGAAGAGAGGAGTCACTCTCCTCCCCCTACTTCTCTACAGCCGCAGCTAATGGCTACTCCCTACTCAACATCCCCGGCAGGATCACCCGAATCTCTCCCAACCCTCTTCAAAGACACGGGGTCATCGACCTAGCCTTCGCAAACCCCCCTGCCCTTAACCTCTTCCACTCATGGTCCAACAGACTTCCCAATGCAGGTTCCGACCACACACCAATCAAACTACAGTTCACTCTCTCCCCCAGCATGACCTCCCTCCCCACTCACACCCCCGACTGGAAAAAGGCCCCCTGGCCCGCAATCCAGGAATCACTCCGGAAAACCTCCCTTCCCCCGATCTCATATCCAATCGACCACTGGTTTGGAAGCGCCCTAGCAGCCATCACCGAACCAGTCCTCGTTGCCACCCCGTCCAAAAGGCCGTCTACATGGTCGAAGGCATGGTGGTCCCCATACCTCTCAACACTCAGAAGGATCTTCAACTCCGTCACCAGAGCATACAGGAAAGGACTTTCACCCCCTTTCGAATACAAAGCCGCCCGCAACGCATACTTCTCCGCCATCCAGGAAGCCAAAAAAAGACACTGGAACGACTTTATAGCCCAAGCCGACTCACAACAGGTATGGGCCCTCAGGAAAACCGCGACCCGGAACAAGGAGACTAAGCTCCCCAAATTCCCAAATGCCTCCTCCCCAGCCGAGGTCAATCAAGCCCTCATATCACACTTCTTCCCCCCACAACCAAACCCCACCACAGCTCCCCAACCGGGCTTCTTCCCTGATACCCCAGAAGTAACAGCCGACGAAGTAGCCAAAGCATTAGCCGCCTCCTCAAACAACTCAGCACCAGGACCGGACACTTTTCCTCCCGTAGCCTGGAAACGAATCCACCAAGGAAACCCATCCCTCATCCCCCAACTCCTCACCCCCCTCCTCAGAAGCGGGTATCACCCGATAGCACTTAAGAGCGCCCTCGGTGTCATTCTCCCTAAGCCCAACAAGCCAGACTACAACTCCCCTGCCGCCTACCGGATCATAGTCCTCCTTGAGACGGTGTCAAAAATCCTCGAACGGATAGTGACGTATCGCCTCCACGCATTCGCCTCTTCGTCACGCCTAATACACCCCCATCAATGCGGCTCAATCAAAGGACTGTCCACAGCCGACGCCGCAACAACCCTCCTGCACGAAATCAGACTCCTCCAACGCGGGGGACTGAAGGTCTCCTCCCTCTTCCTAGATGTCAAAGGGGGCTTTGATCACGTCATCCCCTCAGTCCTAGCAGATACCCTCCGCAGCAAAAACACCCCCCCATACATGGTCCAATGGGTCCTCTCATTCCTATCGGACCGAAAATGTACCCTCCTATTCCCAGGCGGCCCACGCGCCTCCCTTCCAGTAGCCGTCGGAGTGCCTCAAGGCTCCCCCATCTCTCCTCTCCTATTCTGCATATATGTAGCGCCACTTCACACGGACCCAACCCCCGGCATCACCATCTCATATGTCGATGACTTCGCCTTCACAGTCGCCTCCCCATCCCACCAACAGAACGTCGCACTGCTAGAAAATGCCTTCCAAAAGGCAACAGACGCAGGCACCCCACGCAACATCCACTTCTCCCTCCCCAAAACAGACCTCATCCACTGGCGCACCAGCGCCGATAGAAGTGCACCCTCCACGCTCCCCATTACACTCAACCGGACCCCCCTCAACCCCAAAAGAGAAATCCGCTGGCTGGGCCTTCAGCTCACCGACAACTTCAACACCTTCAACCACTTCTCTAAAAGGTGCGCCTCAGCACAAACCTCCTTCGCCATCATAAGAGGATTCACTTCAGCAGGCAAAGGCCTCACCCTCCTCAATTGCCGACGACTAGCAGTCATGGCAATCCTCCCCATGCTCACATACGGAGCCTCCATCCTTGTCCCAACAGCACGAGCACTCAAGAGACTCGAAACCACCTGGCACTCAGTCCTCAGATGGGTCACCAACTGCTTCAGATCAACCCCCCTCTCAATACTACAAGCCGAAACATCCTTCCCACCACTCGCCCTATACATCCCCTCCCTACGCATCAGATATGCCGCGAGAATCCAAGCCGCATCCCCCGCATACAACCCAGTCACCGCACGCACCCCAGACTCCTTCCACACACTCTCCACCTACAGAGAGACATCTCACCGACACCTACTAAGAGGCCGCCCAAACCCCCCCGTCAATTGGAACTCGACCAGGAAAGGGGTAGCCCGCCTCCCCATAGACGACCTCTGCCACGCACTACTCACCAACTCACCAACCTTCGCCCAGAACCCCAACACCATCCACCCAGGCCTGGCACTCTCTATCAAAAAAGACACCATGCAAATCTGGAAGAATAACCCCCTACCAGACTACTACAAATTCCCAATCAGCACTCGTCCACACCCCCACCTCAAGCTCGACCGCTTCATCGCAGGACGCATATGCCAAATGCGGGCTCATAAAAAGCTACCTAGCGGCCCACCCAACATGGATGTCCCAGGACCTCCCCCCAACATGCCCCAGATGTCTACTCGAAGACGAAGACCTCGAACACGCCATCCTACGCTGCCCTGAGCGCAGTCCCCAGAGGGCAACCCACATCCCCTTTGCTAAAACCCTCGACGACCTTTGGTCACCCCCGCCTCACTTGCAGCTCTCTCCTCCTACATAAGGGCAACCAAAACCGGGTTCCCCCCACAAATGGGCCCTCCAAAATCCCCACCCTACATCAGCAAGCTCGCCTATTACCCAGGGCGCAGCCCCTACGTCCTGGCGGGCATTCTGCGCCACGAGCGCCCAGCGCGTCCGGCACCGCCAGAGTACAACCTTCGCGCCAGCTCCGCCGCAGGACCGTCCCACTCTCTGGGACCGCCAGGAGATATGGCTCACGTCCGGAGGGCACTCGCCAATGCTCTGGTCGCCTGGGCCGCCATGAGATTCCCTCCCCCTCCGGAGACGCTAGGATGGAGTGACTCCGCCCACAGCACCTAGGAACTTTTGCTTCTTTTGATTACGTCAGTAGTACACGCGAGCACTTCCCAATGCTCTCACAGTTTTCTTGAATGCTCTCACGGCACGACGAATGCTCTCACGGCACGGCGAATGCTCTCACGGCACCGCGAATGCTCTCACGGCACCGCGAATGCTCCCGCGAATGCTCCCGCGAACGCTCCCGCGAACGCTCCCGCGAGGGCTTCCGCGAGTGCTCCCAGAGCACTCACCAGTGCTCACAGAGCTGAGGCATTCGTCATACCCACTCAAGGTGAGGCAACCCTCACTTGGGCTCCTTTGGATTGATACACCGTCCTCAAAGGATAGGAAGGCCGCACCAGTCCCTCAAAAGATATCTAACGTGGGTATCCTCAACGCCGCTGTACGGTCAGTCGCGGGATACTGATACGAGCACTGTCCTGTATACTGGTGACGACTACCCAACCTTTGACGGACGTGTATGTTTCTGTCGATTCGTGAAAGGCATAATTAGCCTTGAGGTTGAGGCCATGGTACGGCTCGGTCTGAAAAGCTCAATGTCCATGCATAAGCAGCAACATGGACTGGAAAAAGGTGCAGGATGACTTTACTGGTCGGAAGACCAATGCCT